ACCTTATGGTTTAGAAAAAGGATTAGTTTCTTTAAGTAATAGTTTAGGTAGATTAAGTACTGGTGTAATTACTACTTACGCTTTATATATTTTAATTGGTTTAATGTTCTATATTACATTAGTGTATTTCTCATATAATGATAATAATTTATTTATATTAGTATTATTTACTTTATTTGCTTTATTAAATAATAACTTATCTTCAACTAAATAATAATTTAGCCTATGTATTTAACTATAATAATATTAATTAATTGTTATATTTAAATAATAAATATTTTTATTATTTATTTTGTTCAATTTAAATTTATATTTCTTTTTTTAATCTCATATGCTTTTATCTTCAATTTTCTGTTTAATATTATCTAATGCTTTGTCTTTTAGACGTGATACAGCTATTCTTTATTCAAGAATAGGTATTATAATATTATTTTATTGTATATATTTATCTTATAATAATTTATTTATTACATATTTAGATAATGGTATAGGGTTATTTGGTGGTTTATTTTATACATCACCTATAACACAAACATTTCATATATTAATATTTATTATTACATTATTAATATTGAACATTACTGGTTTTTACCCTAGAAAACTTATATCTAATCAATACTTAAGTTTATCTAAATTATTATTTACAAAATTACAATTTGTAAAAAATATTGCTGTATCTAATATAATTTTAAAAAAAGGAGAACAGTATACAATTTTAGAATATACATTAATGTTATTATTTATTGTAACAGGTAGTATATTATTAATATCTAGTAGTGATTTTGTATCTATTTTCTTATCTATAGAATTACAAAGTTATGGTTTATATTTATTATGTACTATGTATAGAAATTCTGAATCTGCTACATCTGCTGGTTTAACTTATTTCTTATTAGGTGGATTATCATCTTGTTTTATTTTATTAGGTATAGCTTTAATATATGCTAATTTAGGTGTAACTTATTTAGATAGTTTCTATGTAATTAATAATTTAGCTGGTGTATTAAATGAACAACAAATTACTACATATATACCTTATTGCTTATTATTAATTACTATAGGATTATTATTTAAAATATCAGCTGCTCCATTTCATTTTTGATCTCCTGATGTTTATGATGGTATCCCTACAATAGTTACTACTTTTGTAGCTATTATAGCTAAAATATCTATATTAACTCTATTATTACATTTAGTTCATTATACTAATAGTATATTTATTACTACTCAATATACTTGAACTACTAGTTTATTAATTAGTAGTTTATTATCTTTAATTATTGGTACTGTATTAGGTTTAACTCAATTTAGAATTAAAAGATTATTTGCTTATAGTACTATTTCTCATTTAGGTTTTATGTTATTAGCTTTAACTATTAATAGTGTTGAATCTATACAATCATTTATTTTCTATTTAATTCAATATAGTTTATCTAATTTAAATGCATTTATTTTATTAGTTGCTATAGGTTATAGTTTATATGCTTATAATGATAAAAATATTAATCATAACTATTTAATTGATAAAAATAACTCTCCTATACAACTTATAAGTCAACTTAAAGGTTATTTCCATATTAATAGTTTTTTAGCTTTAAGTTTAACTATTACTTTATTCTCATTTGCCGGTATTCCACCTTTAATGGGATTTTTTGCTAAACAAATGGTATTCTCTGCAGCTTTACAAGAAGGATTTATATTCTTAACTCTTATTGGAGTTTTAACTAGTGTTATAAGTGCTGTTTATTACTTGTTTATCGTAAAAACTATGTTTTTTGATGGACATTCTTATACTTATTTTAGTAGTTTAAAAGATTTAAGAATACCTGCTCTTATTTTAAAAAATAATAAGGTAGTTAATAAAATATATTTTGATTCTAAATTTGCTTTATCTAGTTCTTTATCTATAACTATTTCTATATTAACTTTAATTATACTTTTATTTATGCTTATGCCTAATGAATGATTACATATGTCTAATATATTAGCTATAGTATTATTTGTACCTACTGGTATTTAATTAAGTAATAATAATAATAATAAATTAAAATAATTTATTTCGTTAAAACAATTATATTTATATTTTTAAAACAAATATAAATATATAGCTAAGATAGTTTAAGTGTTAAAACTATAATTTATAATGAGAATTCATATTTCTCTCTTAGCTATTATGTATAAATACAAAAATATTAAATAGAACAACTTAATATAAATAAATATAAATTTATATTTATATTTATTTATTTATATTAAAATATATCAAAAAAAAAAATATAAAATGTAATAATATATATAATAATAAAAAAATGAGAATTATTAAAAGTCATCCTTTATTAAGATTAGTAAATTCTTACTTAATCGACGCACCAACACCAGCCAATATAAGTTATTTATGAAACTTTGGATCATTATTAGCATTATGTTTAATAATACAAATTGTAACAGGAGTTACATTAGCTATGCACTATACACCTAGTGTAGCTGAAGCATTTAATTCAGTAGAACATATTATGAGAGATGTAAACAATGGATGATTAGTACGTTATTTACACGCTAATACAGCTTCAGCTTTCTTCTTTTTAGTATATCTACACATAGGTAGAGGTTTATACTATGGATCATATAAATCACCTAGAACATTAACATGAGCTATTGGTACAGTAATACTTATAATAATGATGGCTACAGCTTTCTTAGGTTATGTTTTACCATACGGACAAATGAGTTTATGAGGAGCAACAGTTATTACTAATTTAATGAGTGCTATACCTTGAATAGGTCAAGATATAGTTGAATTTATATGAGGTGGTTTTTCAGTTAATAATGCAACATTAAACAGATTCTTTGCTTTACACTTTTTATTACCATTCGTATTAGCTGCATTAGTATTAATGCACTTAATAGCTTACCACGATGTAGTAGGATCAGGTAATCCTTTAGGTATATCAGCTAATTATGATAGATTACCTTTTGCACCTTACTTTTTATTTAAAGATTTAATTACTATCTTCTTATTCTTTATAGTATTATCTATATTTGTTTTCTTTATGCCTAATGCATTAGGAGATAGTGAAAATTATGTTGTAGCTAATCCAATGCAAACTCCACCTGCTATTGTACCAGAATGATATTTATTACCATTCTATGCTATATTAAGATCTATACCTAATAAATTATTAGGTGTTATAGCTATGTTTGCTGCTATTTTAGCTTTAATGGCTATGCCATTAACTGATTTATCTAAATTAAGAGGAGTACAATTTAGACCTTTAAGTAAAATAGCATTCTTTGTATTTGTAGCTAATTTCTTAGTATTAATGCAAATAGGTGCAAAACACGTTGAAACACCATTTATTGAATTTGGACAAATATCTACTGTGTTATACTTTGCTCACTTCTTTATTATAGTACCTGTAGTAAGTATTATAGAAAATAGTTTAGTAGAGTTAGCTATAAAAAAATAATTAATATTTAATAATAATAATATATTTTTAAATTATATATTAAAAATATATATAGGAGTTTGAGCAGAGGGTTCTGCGTTTCGATTGCAAATCGAAATAAAGGGATTCGAGTTCCCCGAACTCCTTATATAAAAAAGTTTCAATATTTAATATTGAGTATATTTATTAAATATTTATATATATATAGAATAAAAACTGCAGGTTGTAATATACAATATATATATATATTTAAATATTCTATTTATATATATTGTTATAATAAATAATAAATAAATAAATGATAAGTATAATTTCAATTATTGAAGGGTTATTATTAATAGTACCTGCTTTACTTTCAGTTGCATTTGTAACTATTGCCGAACGTAAAACTATGGCTTCTATGCAAAGAAGATTAGGTCCTAATGCGGTAGGTTATTATGGTTTATTACAAGCATTTGCTGATGCTTTAAAATTATTATTGAAAGAATATGTAGCACCAACACAAGCTAACATTATATTATTTTTTATAGGACCTATGATAACTTTAATCTTTTCTTTATTAGGATATTTAGTTGTACCATTTGATAGTGGTATTTTTGTATCTGATTATAGTTTAGGTATGCTTTATATGTTAGCTGTTTCATCTTTAGCTACTTATGGTATTTTATTAGCTGGTTGATCTGCTAATTCTAAATATGCCTTTTTAGGTTCATTAAGAAGTACAGCTCAGTTAATTAGTTATGAGTTAATATTAAGTTCTGTAATTATAGTAATTATCTTATTAACTGGTAATTTAAATATTATTACAATTGTAGAATCACAAAGAATAGTAGATTTCTTATTACCATTATTTCCTTTATTTATTATATTCTTTATAGGTTCTATTGCTGAAACTAATAGAGCTCCTTTTGATTTAGCTGAAGCTGAGTCTGAACTTGTTAGTGGTTTTATGACTGAACATTCAGCTAGTGTATTTGTATTCTTTTTCTTAGCTGAATACGCTAGTATTATATTAATTTGTGTTTTAAATAGTATTTTATTTTTTGGTGGTTATTTATGTATTATACCTGTTGAATTTTTAATTGATATCTTATATACTTTATTTGGTATTAATAGTTCTATATTACAAGATATATTTGTTAATTTTTCATCTTCTCCTTTAAATTTAGCTTTTAAAACTGCTTTATTAATATTTGTGTTTATTTGAACTAGAGCTTCTTTCCCTAGAATACGTTTTGATCAATTAATGTCTGTTTGTTGAACTGTTTTATTACCTTTAATTGTAGGATATGTTATCTGTATTCCTTGTATTGTATTTGGTTTAGATGCTTTACCTACAAATTTAGTACTTTAATGTTATATTGTTTTTTTCTCTATTTATGTGTATTATATACTTTACATTAAAGTATAGGGTAATACATACTATAATTAGGTAAATATATTTATGTAGTATTAATTATTTTATACTTAAGCTTTATAGCATATATAAAGTGTAACAAAAACAAATTAATGTTTTATATCAGAAAGTTAATATATATATATATATAAATTAAATATGTCCTTATTATTATTATTAATACCATTAATAGGTATAAGTCTTGTAACAATAGAGACTAATTATGGTTTAAGTATAGTAAATAATATAAAGATAAAATCTATAGCCTTAACAACATCAATAATAAATTTAATAGTATCCTTAATAATGTTTATACTTTTTGATTTTAGTAGTAAACAATTTCAATTTATTGAGGAACACTATCAAGTAAGTTATTTTGATATATATTTAGGTGTGGATGGTTTATCAATATATTTTATATTATTAACAACTATAATAATGCCAATAGCTATATTATCTAATTGAAATTCAATACAATCTCAAAATGTATTATCATTTGTAGTAATAATGTTATTATTAGAAACATTATTATTAGCTGTATTTTTAGTTTTAGATGTATTATTATTTTATATTTTTTTTGAAAGTATATTACCTCCTTTATTTTTATTAATAGGATTATTTGGTTCAAGTAATAAAGTAAGAGCTAGTTTCTATTTATTTTTATACACTTTATTAGGTTCATTATTTATGTTATTATCTATTATAGTTATGTCTTCTATTATGGGTACAACTGATTTTGATGCATTATCTAAAGCAAACTTTAGTTATACTACACAATTATTTTTATTTTATGGTATATTTATAGCTTTTGCTGTAAAAACACCAGTTATTTTTTTAAATACTTGATTATTAAAAGCTCACGTTGAATCACCTTTATCTGGTAGTATTATATTAGCTGGTATAGTTTTAAAATTAAGTTTATATGGTATATTTAGATTAATGTTACCTTTATTACCTAAAGCTTCTTTAAACTTTACATATATTATATATGTAATAGGTGTAATAACTATTATTTATGCTAGTTTTAGTACATTAAGAACAATTGATATTAAAGAATTAATTGCTTATTCTTCTGTATCTCACGCAGCTGTTTATTTAATAGGTGCTTTTAGTAATACTATACAAGGTATAGAAGGTGCTATAGTTTTAGGTTTAGCTCACGGTTTTGTATCACCAGGATTATTTATTTGTGCTGGAGGTATTTTATATGATAGATCTTCTACTAGATTAATTACATATTATAGAGGTATGGCTCAAATTATGCCTATTTTCTCTATATTATTCTTTATTTTATCTTTAGGTAATAGTGGTACACCTTTAACATTAAATGCCTTAGGTGAATTTATGTCATTATATGGTGCATTTGAAAGAATGCCTATATTAGGTTTATTAGCTAGTACTTCTATTGTATTATCTGCAGCTTATACTATATTTATGTATAATAGAATAGCTTTTGGTGGTTCTTATTCTGTATATTTTGTAGAAAATATTGGTGATGTTACTAGAAGAGAATTTATTTTATTATTAGTATTTGTAATATTTACAGTATTATTTGGTATATATCCTGCACCTATATTAGATGGTTTACATTACTCAGTTTCTTCTTTAATTTATAATATTAATTAATTTATTTATTTACATTAAGAATTTTTATTATAAATGTTATATATATTTATCTTCTTACTAGCTCAATGGCAGAGCAGAATACTTCTAATATTTTGATTCAAGTTCGACCCTTGAGTAAGAATTCTTTCTATTTATATATATATATATAGACTTTTATAGATTTACGGTAAAACTAAATTATCTTATATATTTTTTATGTATTTGATAAATGAGGCTTTAACTTGTAATCTTATATAGTCACAATAATATGTATGAAAATATTTCTTATTTATAAAACCAAAAAAACATATATATGCCACAATTAGTACCATTCTTTTTTGTAAACCAAGTAATCTTTACTTTTGTTATATTAACAGTTTTAATCTATACTTTTACTAAATTTATATTACCTAGTTTTGTACGTACTTTTATTTCACGTATTTACATAAATAAATTATAATTAGTAGTTGTATTATTTATAACTAAAACATGATAACAACAATTATACTAAACTAATATTAACTAACTTAATTATATCTTAAAAAAAAAAAAAAATGAGTCACTTAAATTATATATTAAGTCCACTAGACCAATTTGAGGTAAGAAACCTTTTATCAATAAATGCTAACTTATTAGGTAATTTACATTTATCATTAACTAACATAGGATTATATTTAACAATTAGTATTTTTTTAATATTAACATATAGTTTATTAGCTACTAATAATAATAAAATAATACCAAATAATTGATCAATAAGCCAAGAAAGTATATATGCTACAGTACATGGTATAGTAGTAAACCAAATTAATCCTAATAAAGGACAAATGTTCTTTCCATTAATGTATGTATTATTCATATTTATATTAGTAAATAATTTAATAGGATTAGTACCATATAGTTTTGCATCTACATCACACTTTATATTAACATTCTCTATTAGTTTTACTGTTGTTTTAGGTGCTACAATATTAGGTTTCCAAAGACATGGGTTAAAATTCTTCTCATTATTTGTACCTTCAGGTTGTCCTTTAGCTTTATTACCTTTATTAGTTTTAATAGAATTTATTTCATACTTATCTAGAAACGTATCATTAGGTTTAAGATTAGCTGCTAACATATTAAGTGGTCACATGCTTTTAAGTATTTTAAGTGGATTCACTTATAATATTATGACTAGTGGTATATTATTCTTCTTCTTAGGTTTAATACCTTTAGCTTTCATTATTGCATTCTCTGGTTTAGAGTTAGCTATAGCTTTTATCCAAGCTCAAGTTTTCGTAGTTTTAGCTTGTTCATATATTAAAGATGGGTTAGACTTACATTAATATTAAATAGACGATATTTAATCTTTTTTTTGAATAAATATACAAATTAATTTGTATATTTATCCTTTATTATAAAATTAAGATATAAATATTTTATGCTGATAGGAAAGTCCAATACTTATTAGGCATATAGATTTGAATATATCAATTCAATAATTATAAAAATATAAGGATATTAACAGAAACTAATAGAATACTTATTAGTAATAATAATATAATAGCGAACAAGTATCCTATGTTAAGTTTTTATTTAGAATTATTAATAATTAAAACAGAAACTGGCTTAATTATGTCTTAATTTGTCACATAGACCGAAAAAAAAGTATATAAATAAAAATATACCTCATTATAGATATATCTTATGTATATCATAAAATTAAAAATAAAGAGTTTGATGATGGCTCTAACTGAACACTGTCCAAGTACTTGACACATGCTAATCGAACGACTAATTAGTTTAATATATAAATTAAAATAAGTAGTAGTGGTGTACAGGTGAGTAAAAGATAAATTGGCTACCTTAAAGTAAGGGAAAAAATCCCTTATAGCCAAAGGTTTTAATATATTCCGCTTTAAGATGATAATTTTTATCTCGGTGAGTAGTAGGAAAGGTAATGACTTTTCTAGCAATAAACCGTAGTCGTAACTGGAAAGTTGATCGACCACATTGGGTCTGAAAAAAACCCAATGCTTTTATGTACAGCAGTGAGGAATATTGGTCAATGGCCGAAAGGCTGAACCAGTAACTTGGAAGAATGTAAGTGTATTTGTATAAATACAATAGCGATTAATTCGCATAAAATTCTAAATAGATTGTATATAATGACATAATCTATTTATAAGTCTTGGCCAAACTACGTGCCAGCAGTCGCGGTAATACGTAGGAGGCTAGTGTTAGTTATCTTTATTGGGTTTAAAGGGTAAGTAGACGGTAAATTAAACTCTAAACGAGTACTTTTTTACTAGAGTTATATGAGAGAAGGTAGAATTCCTGGAGTAGAGATAAAATTTGTTAATACCAGGAGGACTGTCAACGGCGAAGGCGACCTTCTATGTAATAACTGACGTTGAGAGACGAAGGCTTGGGTAGCAAATAGGATTAGATACCCTACTAGTCCAAGCAGACAATGATGAATGTCATATATTAGATATATATTTAATGTATAAACGAAAGTGTAAGCATTCCACCTCAAGAGTACTATGGCAACATATAAACTGAAATCATTAGACCGTTTCTAAAACCAGTAGTGAAGTATGTTATTTAATTCGATAATCCGCGAAAAACCTTACCACAGCTTGCATATCATAGTTGCTTCGGTAATACCGCAATACTATGTTACAAGCGCTGCATGGCTGTCTTTAGTTAATGTCGTGAGATCTGGTTAATTCCTTTAATTAACGAAAACCCTCACTTTATTTATTTGTATAAAGTGGTTCGCTATTACATCGGATCAGATAAAAGGGATTAAGACAAGTCATTATGGCCTAAATGCTGTGGGCTATAGACGTGCCACATTCGCCTTAACAACGGGATGCGAAATTTAATAAATGGAACCTATCCCTAAAAAAGGAAACTAAATTGTGAATTTAAGTCTGTAACTCGACTAAATGAAAAAGGAATTACTAGTAATCGTGCATCACCAACGTCACGGTGAATTTTATCTTAGTTAGGTACTAACCACTCGTCAGGCGCTGAAAAAAGAAGATGCAGTAAGTTTGATTTATTCTGTGTAAAATTATATATAATTAAGATATATAAGTATGCAGGATAGTTTTCGTATGCAAAACTTTGATTGGTGTTAAGTCGAAATATGGTTCGTGTAATGGAAATTGCACGGGGAGTATAAAGTAGAACAAAAATTAATATGTATATATATTATATAATCTAAAATAGGTATAATATAAATTGGTTCAAATCCAGTTATAGATTAAATATATATATATAATGTAAATCTAGATATCTTATTGATATCTGGGTTTATAAGGGAGGGTCCGTACGTTGGTTCACGGGTTGAGCTGTAAACTCAATAGCTATAGGCTAACGAAGGTTCGATTCCTTTTCTCCCTAATTAGATAATCTAATACTATCTAGCCATTTATTTTATTTGTATATTATGTTAATAGATTAATTATTTTTATTTATGAACAATATATTTTTATTAAATGATTCTATAACTAATGGATTTAGAATAGAATTTGTTGATACTATTTATTTAGTATCTACTTTATTAGGTTTACTAACTATAGTTAGTAGAAATCCTGTAGTATCTGTTTTATTTTTAATAGGTTTATTTGTTAATGTAGCAGGTTTATTAATTTTAATAGGATATAATTTTATAGGTTTAGCTTATATATTAGTTTATGTAGGTGCTGTATCTATTTTATTTTTATTCATTTTAATGTTAATTAATATTAGAGTATCTGAATTATTTACTGATACTAATAATGATTTACCTTTAGCTATTTTAACAGTTATAATTTTTTATTATATTATGGGACAAGTATTACCTTCAAATTTTACAGAAAATAGTATTGTTTCTTATTTATCAAATTCATTTTCTGATATATATAATGTACAATTAGATAATGAATTATTTAATATAGTTGATTTAAAACAACAAATTGGTTATGCTAGTAGTAAAAGTTGAGATAATTCATTAATAGAACCTACACATATAGCTAGTATAGGTAATATTATGTACACAAGTTATTCTATGTGATTAATTGTTACTTCTATTATTTTATTATTAGGTATGGTAGGTGCTATTATGATAACAATAAAACAAAAATAGTTATATAAAGCTTAAACAATTATTTATAAAATTAAAATATGATATATAAATCAAAAAGTAATTTTCAAAATCACCCTTTTCATTTAGTATCACCTTCTCCTTGACCATTATTTACTAGTCTATCATTATTTATATTAACTACAACTACAGTTTTATTTATGCATGGATTCCAAGGATTCCAATATTTAGTACCTTTAGCTGTATTTAATGTTATGTATGTAATGGGTTTATGATTTAGAGATGTTATTTCAGAAGGAACTTACTTAGGTAATCATACTAATGCTGTACAAAAAGGATTAAACTTAGGTGTAGGTTTATTTATTATATCTGAAGTTTTCTTCTTTTTAGCTATATTCTGAGCATTTTTCCATAGTGCTGTTTCACCTAGTGTTGAATTAGGTGCTCAATGACCTCCTTTAGGTATACAAGCTGTTAATCCATTTGAATTACCTTTATTAAATACTATATTATTATTATCTTCTGGTGTAACTATTACATATGCTCACCATTCTTTAATACAAGGTAATAGAAAAGGTGCTTTATATGGTACAGTTGTTACAATTTTATTAGCTGTAATATTTACTTTCTTCCAAGGTGTTGAATATTCAGTATCTTCTTTCACTATTTCTGATAGTGTTTATGGTTCATGTTTCTACTTTGGAACTGGTTTCCACGGTATACACGTTATGGTTGGTACAGCTTTCTTAGCTGTTGGGTTATGACGTTTAGCTGCATACCATTTAACAGATCACCATCACCTTGGTTATGAAGCAGGAATATTATACTGACACTTTGTTGACGTTGTTTGATTATTCTTATATATTTCTGTATACTATTGAGGTTATTAGATTATATATTTTTATATCTATATTAATGTAATTTTATATGTTATATATATAATAAACCCTTAATAGAGACTTTAGTTTAATGGTAAAACATGTGACTTTTAATCATTATAATATGGGTTCAAATCCCATAGGTCTTAATAATTAATATGTAATGACTATAAGTTAATGGTAGACTGCTTATTTACCATATAAGATGTGCTGATTCGAATTCAGCTAGTTATAATATTAAATTAGATACTATGGCTATAAGTTAATGGTAGACTGTTTACCTTCCAAGTAAAGTGTGTCGATTCGAATTCGACTAGCTATATAAATAGGGTTAGTAACTTAATTGGTAAAGAGTTTTCTTGTCACGAAAACAGATATCGGATCGAAACCGGTCTAACTCGTATAGGAAAAGTTGCTATTGGTAGGGTAAGATATTTGCTAAATATTGTGTTTTGACACTTAGATGTTCGATTCATCTCTTTTCCGTAAATAAGAGCATAGTTTAATAGGCAAAACTGTAAGCTTCAACCTTATATTTCTTAGTTCAAGTCTAAGTGCTCTTGAATATTATATAGGTTCTTTAACTTAACCGGTAAAGTGTATTCTTGATAAGGATATGTTCAGTGTTCGAGTCACTGAAGAATCATACAAGAGAGTTGGCTGAGTGGTCTAAGGCGGCTAGCTTGAGTCTAGCTAAAGATTTAAACTTTCATATGTTCGAATCATATACTCTCTGAAATAATATGTTATATTAACATAAATACTTAGATAATATAAATAAATATGTTAATATTTT